GTGTGGTTAGAACACAAATAATTTCTGTCTGGGTACAGAAGCACTAGGTGTACTTGCAACACAACTGAATATAATACTAAAGTGTACAACCAATAAAAGGGGGAAGTAAAAAGTAATAAAAGGGATAAATAATAATACTGCAGCCACACCCTAAGGGTTAATATACATATACATTAGACAAAAAAAACACCTTAGTACAGTAAATTATACTACACATCAGATGTGTGAATCCAGGCAAGTGCTGTCCAGTTGCCCATTATTATCCTTTTGCTGTTGGGCCAACCAGGCCAAAGTGCTACACATTGTTGTCTATAACTAAGAAATATGAAGGAATGTGAACAAAGCACAGCACAAGAAAAGAGCAAAAAGTGGCCAAAGCATTTTCCATTTAACATGGGGGCATCCTTATTTCAGTATTTCAGGCTTGTGTGCTAAACTAGTAACAGAATCAAAGCATTTACAGTACTATTGATTGAGCTGTCTAGAGTTACTGCATGGTTCTGACAGCTCTCTAGCACTGCTTTTTAGGATGGTAACAATAAAATAGCTGTCTTTGGTAAAGCACAGTATTTCTTAAGCTTGGCAACTTAAAGATATGTGGACTTCAGTTCCCAGAATTCCACAGCCAGCATAATATAGAACAGTGATGGCGAACCTTTTGGAGACCGAGTGCCCAAACTGCAACCCAAAACCCACTTATGCATCGTCGAGTGCCGGGTGGGTGTGGCCCATTGGTGGGTGTGGTCAATTGGGTGGGCGTGGCCCATTGGGTGGGCATGGCTGTGGTGGTAATGGCAGACTGGGTGGGACTAAAAAGTTCAATCAATCAATTCCAACTTTGCAAGATCTTTTTTTTCCCCTGCAAGAAGTTGAAATTGACTGATTGAACCTTTTTTTTTTTTTTTTGCACACGGCGGCAGAGGCCTAAAGCGAAAAGGTTTTATAAAACCCAGCTGAAGGCCTAGGACCTGGGCGACGGCGCGCGTGCCCACAGAGAAGGCTCTGAGTGCCGCCTCTGGCACCCGTGCCATAGGTTCGCCACCACTGATATAGAAGAAAGGCCCTGCTCATTCTCAAAAGCCACTAACCCTACTTGCTACTGACATGGTTTTGCCTTCAATGTAATAGCAAAGCATTACTGTGCAGATGTTACCTATTGTTACTGATGCTGTCAGCTTCTGAGGAAAAACCTATTGTCTCACTCAAGGATTAGGGATGAGATGAAGGCAATGGCATGGAATCAGGTCAATTTCTCTCCCCCCCCCCCCGCCTCCCCTCCAAATAATTTTGCCATGGTATTTTGTACCATGTTTAGGTACAAGAGAGGAAATTTATCCACGCACAGACACTTCCTTCATCTATTTGTCACATGTAAGACTCTGACACCCTCTCTTCCTCATTTAAAAGCCTTATTATAGCTCGAAGCATAGCAAGCAAGCAGAATTGTAAAGGAGTCTTGTTACTCAAATCAGCCTGGGGCATCCATGGGTGGAGGGGCAGGGGGAGGGCCAAAAGGTCAAGATAGCAACTGTGGCTATGTGGTCAAAGCCCCACTCCTCTTTTACCTGTGAGACAGCCTCCCCGTGCTTGGGTGCTATGGGAGGGGTGATTTATTGTCCACTCTTCAAGGTAAACCATACTAAGAAACCCAAGCTATGAATGTTAATACATCTTTTATAAGTTTATACTAACAGAATCTTGTAAATCAAATGTGCCTCTCTCTCCTTCCCTTTATCTGCAAAACAACTAGGGAGGGTCAAGCCTGAGATGCTTTCTCAAATTGCATTTCTGCTTCAGATTCAAGTTTATTTTGTCTGACTGATGTCTTGGTTGTGGCTCTTCCTCTGGGTTTTCAAGTTTACTCTTACAGCCCATCACATTTATGCATACTTCTATTGGCCTTCCTGAAGCCCTCTAGAAATATGGTTGTGTTGTGATTCCGTGCCAGCCTGTGTTCCCAACAGCTGAGTCTGAGGAATCTGAGGAGGAGGTGGAGGAGGCATTTGAAGGGCCATCAGGGTCAGAGGGAGGCTCTGATGAATTACAGGACTCATGGCTTGACGAAGAGCCTGGGCCCTCCAGTTGTGTTCCTGATGAAGCTCAGCTGTGTGAGGGGACTGAGTCAGACTCAGACGACACACACCTGATGGACTTGCTAATTGATGCTCGCGAATGCAGGCAATTAACAAAGGTAAATCAACAGCAGTCAATGGGACAACTCCAGAGAAAACGGAGAAGGCACCGAGAGGCAACGCCTTGGAACTGCTGTATAAAAAGAGGAGGTGTGGGCAGTGCTGGTTGCTGAAGGCAACCATTTGTAAGAACTTCCAGGGATCGTGGTCTGTTTGTTTTACCGATGAATGTTTTGTTCAAACTCCTGCTCTGTCTGATTTTTTAACCAATTATCTGTTGGAAAAGTATTCTGTTGTTTTTGTTTTTGAGCAAACTTATCAGGACTGTTTTTGTAATAAAAAGGGGTTGGTTTTCCCAGCCTACTGTTAAAGAGGGGTTTGTTTTTGTGACGCAGCAAAGACGGACGTAGGCTGGGACAGAACAGGTTGCCCCAGCTTCTGAAGCCGTGCTGCACAGGTCTGATGTGTCTCCCATGGTGCATTTGCCATATGACGCTTCAGCCTTGACGACTACTGAACATATTTGATATACTCTTGAGCCAAAAGGCAGGAAGCTCTTGACACCCATTCAGCAGGCTTCACCTGGAAAAGGAAAGTAGAGAAAGCAGCTCTTTAGGTAGCCTCCAAATTTACTTCTCCTTCTCTTTTTATCTCCATCCTACACAGGTGGGCAACTGAAGTATGAGATAATTTTGGGCGGAGTTGAATAACACTGATTTCTTGCTACCAGTGAATGACTTTTAAAGTCAGTGGTCTGGGATGATAGGACATGTATTCCTTCATTGGGCTCTAGTGGCCAACTGTAGTAGGGCAAGCCCCAAACCTTGCTTCAAAAAGATTCACTGCTCACCCCAATTTGTCTGGCAAAGATCAATAACCATGGCTTTTGAGATAGAGCAAGGAAAGAGGGGTGTCGACTGCCTTCACAATAGCCAGGGACAAGTTAATGTCAGGCATTCAATGTTCTCCAATATTATAATAATAATAATAATAATAATAATAATAATAATAATAATAATAATAATAATAATAATAATAATAATAATAATAATAATAATAATAATAAAGTTGGAAGGGATCTTGGAGGTCATCTGGTCCAACCCCCTGCTTAGGCAGGAAACCCTATACCATTTCAGACAAATAGCTGTCCAGTCTCTTCTTAAAAACTTCCAGCGTTGGAGCATTCACCGCTTCTGGAGGCAGGTTATTCCATTGGTTAATTGTTCTAACTGTCAGGAAGTTTCTCCTTAGTTCTAGG